TTGAAAGTCGTTTGAACCATTATTTTTATTCCATTTTTTGTCTTTGTTTTTACAAATAATAAACAATTCATTAACACTGGTAACTTAAGATAATATAAAAGCGGTTGATTATGAGTTTTATTGTATTCATATGCTATCTCGTCCAATATATATCACCTTCAGATTTGAGTATTATAAGTGTACTCGAGCAGATTCTAAAGAACAAAACCATTTTTTTCATATTTTTTATATTAAATATGGTTTTATTTTTATTCATCGTTAATATTACATTTTGCATATGTTACTTTCCAAAACAACCATAAACTTACGTCAACATTAGTTATTGTAATAACTCTTATGTATCAATAACTGATTTTTTATGGCATTGCTGACGTACATATTCTTCTTGATTAGTTGAATGGCAACCTATAACATATCTGTAGCAATTTTTACTACAATGAAATCTGTTTTGCCTATAAAAATATTATGATTGTTATCACTTTAAAGATATATAGCAACTACAAATAATAAAATACTAGTTCACGTTTCTCAAATAGGCACGACTTCATTAGATATTTGATTTGTTTTTTTTTGTACTGTAATTATTATTTGTAATTTGTAATTATTATTAACGAGTGAATCTAGTGATCAAATCTAAGTGATTAAGGGACCGATTCTGCCGCATAACAGAAAAATTGTTACGGCAAGGCCATGTTATAAAGAACTTTCTATACTAAATATTGAAAAAGCCATATGGTTGGTGTGCAGTCAGGCGTATTTCTCAGATTGGGGACGTCCATTAATCACGTGAGCGAGTTTTTAAGGATTTTTGGACCCCAAACATCACGTGTATTTTCAGTTACGTGATAAAACTGTAAATTTTTTTAATTTTGTTTGAAAATGTTTGATTTTTTAAAAAAAAATTCAGTTAAAAATAAATACACGTGATATCTTACTATACCCCTCCCTCTCCCAGGTGATATTTTGTGATTTTTTGTCAGACCCCCCCTTCCCCTAAAAACCTAACCTGATTAATGGTCGCCCCCTTGTCAGATAGAATACCTAAGCTAGAAACCGCGCAAATGTCAAAAAAAACTGTCTTAGATAACAGTGTGTTTCTGACACAGCTTCATAACTTAAGTTACAAGTGATGTTGCTGTTTATGTGTAAAACGCCTGAATGCACAGCAATTCAGCAGACTTGTGACAATGTTCAGTATGATTTAGTAGCATAATGTATGGAATTTGGAGCGTAACATAGCCTTGCCATAACATTTTTCTGTTATGCGGCAAGATTGATCCCTAAATCTAGACTTTTACAACAAAACCAATAACGTAACGTAAGACGTAAGTTAGGTTGAGACGCTTTGCAATCCATATGATTGTAGTGTTGACAGTTGATCGCGAGTATACATGTCTACATTCACATGACGACCTCAACCAATCACATCAACTCGTTTTGAATCAGTATTTTTGGCGTAAAGCATTTCCGTTACATTTTCGCTGAGTTACCCCCTAGTCGCCCCTAAAGAATTTTTACTTAAAAAATATTCATGTTTTTGTTACTTATACTGACATTGTTATTAATAATATATGATATGAAATATTACACACAATCCACAAAGACTATATTTTATTGAAATAAATAGACATTATAAAATAATAAAATAAATATTTATTAATATATTAAAATTCAAAATCACTAATTCTACAAAAATTACAATATCATTACAAATAACTATGTTACAATAATTTTGATAAATTATTCTTGAAATTAAGTTAGTGATAATATTAATTATATGTAATTAATAATTTAACAAATTTAACATGAAATATAATTAATAACAAAAATCACACCAAAGAATTATCTAAATGTAATCAAAATAGTATATCTGCGTTTTTGTATAGCGCGCACAAATTTCATCAATGTTAAAGTTTTATTATTTGTTACTCATCCCAATATTTCAAATTCAATATAATGATATTAAATAGTAGTTTGGCCGAAAACCGGTCCATGGTATGAGAGCACCACATTCTCTGTTTATTATTTTCATTACAGTTTTATTAACACTAATCATCTGTTATTCACTCTTATGAATTTTTCTTTCAATTTTTTTAGTACATTTGAATAAGCCCTATGATAAGATCTGTGCCATTCAAAATAGCATCCAAAATCAATTATCCGATTAGCAATTTCCATCTTAATTTTGCCATTCGTTACAATGATAGCTCGAGATATAATATCCTACACTATACATGACACCACCCTCCATAAAAAAATTCCTTACTCATATTTTTTAATAATTACCTTTTCTATTCGCGTTCTATAAATTTCTTCGACGATTCCACACTCATGTGTTCATTAAAAGCCGAACCAAGTTGTTTATTACAAATAAAATATTATTTAATACAATCTATTTTAATTGATAATAACATTCACAAAATCTGCACTTAAACATCTGTCATCAACAAATTCGAATATTGGGTTAGTTTCTATGGAAACTGCGTAGATTTACACGCCGTAGGCATGTTTCTTTACACGCCTGATGTCGTAGCATAATTTTTACATAACAAAGGAGCGATAATCGCCGTGTTAAATAAAACATTCTTTATGTATTACCACTCCCTTATGTGTATAATGTCGCGCTCTTTCATGATTTTTAATATGTTTTTGTGTTTTGATTCACACAACAAAATTTGCAGTGATACTACTTTTCCTGTTTTAAAGATTTTCCGTAATTTGAATATTTTAACTGACACTTTTATTTGTAATATGCAATCTAATTTTATTTGATGGCACTAATTGCTTAGTCTCGACGTCGTAGACTATGTTGTTCATTTAATAATTAGATTATAGTTGCGTAATGTTTACTCTACTTATTGGCCGCCTGCTAAGAGGGCTATCCGTCTCTATATTTAGATTAAAAATAGAACTTGTAGCATGCTCTAGTTATTGGATTAAGTCACATTGCATTTGCCAAAAGAATTTATTAATAAATTAACTCTCTAATTAACCTACAGTCAAGTATAAATCAAAAGGTATGTAGTAGAGATGGTAACTCACTCCGGAGTTATCACTCCGATACAACTCCTCCCTCGGAGTGAATCCGAGTGGAGTTGTCTCACAGGATTTGTTATATCCGACTTCCCTAAATTGGTACTAAATCTGTTAACATATGTAGATATTCGCTTAAGATTTTTTAATGATGCAAAGATTTGGGTCGAAAAAAGTGATCTTTTTCTCGTCTCACAGGTTACAGCCAGTGTTAAGGCTTTCCAGGTATATAATGTCTCAAAATAATGCTATTTTGTATTCTCTATTCTGTATACGATAATGTTTGTCCGTAAATGAGCTCTTTCAATGGTATACAACCAGCTAAAAATATTTAGTATTGTATTGTAACTTTTACACAATTATGATTTTATAATTGTGTAAAAGTAATAGGATGCTAATCAAACTACCTGATGTATAATCAATTCTTGAAAAAGAAATAATAAAAGAATGTGAGGTATTATTGTTTTGTGAAAAATATTATACACAAAGATTTGTTCTTATTTCATATATAAGGTTCACTGCATTATTTTCATATAAAAATAACCACATTCAAAGAATTCTATATTTTCTCTTCAAAAATAATTACAAAATTGATTTTAATTCTCAAGTTTTTTGTCAATTTGAGAATTGTATGCATATTGAAATGCATAAAATAGTAATTATTATAATAAAATGAACAAAAATGTTTGAACTATTTGTAAACTATTTTCAAAGTCTTAATAAATCCTTAGAACAACACACTAGAGAACACATTTGGGCCAAGTATTATGTTTCAAAGTTGTCGGAGTTGTGGAGTTGTTAAGTGGATATAACTCCTCTCTGAAGCGGAGTCGAATCCTAACCGATCTGGCTTCGGATATTATAAGCCCATCTCTAGTATGTAGCAATTTGAAGATATTTCAGGAAGCAGTTATGTTCAATGTTCGATTGAAATTGATATTGAGAATAATACATCACAAAATTTATATGAGCTTCTTTGACAAAAAAAATATTTTTATTATCTTTCATAGCCTAAATTGATACTTGACTGTAGGTTAATTAGAGTTTTAAACAGATAAAAAAATGTAATTTTAATTTCAGTTCATTTTGTAATAAAACTATGTTAGAATTACCAACTATGTAATTTAAATTTGAATACTTTGATGTATAAGTTTGATATAAGCCTGAAATAATATTTACTGTGTTTTTCTTACGAATAGATCAATAATATTGCTTTCTTTTTATTCCAAAATAGTTTATAAAGTTCCGCCTACATCATCGTATTCTTATGTGGAACCAGGATTTGCAGATGTTGATATTTCGAACTTTGAACAACCAAGTCGGGATGATATTGGACGAAGGCGTCAGCACATAAACTTTGAAGCAAATGATCACGTGAGTTAATATTTAGTAATATTATTTTATGAATTAGCAAAATTCAACAATGTACTTAGGAAAGAGATCATCTACAAATTTTAGAATTTAAATATGATTTCCAATAATATATGTATTATATATGCATAAATAATGCCACACAGGCTTAACAATAGTTTTCAAAATCAAAATTAATACTTTTTGAAGCCCATACAGATGTCTGCGTTATATATAAGGTTCACACGCGATTGAAGTAAAACTTATTTGCTACTGGTATTTAAGTAAAAATAAATACATCACATAACAATTTTGAATAATGTTTATTAGTAATAAGGTTATATTCGTGATGCACACATTTATTAGTGTCAACCATTATACACATTTATATAATGATAAATTGTAAATTATATATTTCTTATTAATACATATTTTTATTAACTTAAAAATATGTATAATATTTAAAAACAATAATGCAATTAAAGTCATACTTCAAATATGACATGATCGGTTTGTCATTGTAATTAGCATTTAGAAATGAACCTTCATTAGAGAAATGAAGTAATTGCTGCATAATAAATTCTATAATATTCGTTCACACAGTGGATTATGTTAAACAACGCCTAAACAAATTTTGTTTTCGCAACTTCACTCATCATGTAATTGTGTTTGAAGAACTTCATGTAATTAAAATTAACATACATTCATTGGCTGCTTGTATTTTTTTTACTTTTTTGCGATGGCGATATAATCTCATTCTTTGAACAGCTGTAACATCTGTTTTGCCTAAAAATTGGTAGAAACTACGAATATTATAGAAATAATTTCTAATGAATAAACTTACGTTTAGTTGTTTAATTTTTTTATTATAATTTATTATAATTTGTTTTATTATTATCAAGGAACAGGGTTAAATATTTTTCTGATTCAGGCATTTTTCATTAAATCAAGATTTGTACTACGATGTAACTTTAAAATGTTTATTTATCTATGCCGATTTCCTTGTTGATGTCGGTGCGCATACAACGATGATGCCGGTATGCATACAACGACAGATCGCTATTCACATACACGACGACTAATCACAATCGACCCGTATAGAAATGATCTCATCAAGACCGAATAACGAACAGTTCGGTCTTTCATTGCATTTGTCTTTCATTGCGCCTAAAGAAGTTTCACTTAAAAAAAATATCTCAGCCTGAAAACTTCTAAAAAAATTGCGATCAGACGCCAAAAACAATCTGATTTTACTTGATATCTTATTTCAAAGCATGCTAATAACCTCCATCGTGTAATGGAAATTCAATTCCTGGTTATTCGAATTGAGTAGCTTTTGTTCTATAAATACTTGGAAACAAAACTAAAATCGGCTCGTGTCATAAAGGTTTCTTTCAATCAATAATATGAATTGACGTTTAATTACATGTAACAACGCGATATGGTAATGTGAATAAAACAATGCATCGAAAATATGTAATATTATACTATAACAAAACTAGCGGGGCATGGCATCGTGCCTTATAGCAAATTGCTGGAACTTCCTGTAACAAAAATTGAAATTTTGAAAAAATATTTAATTTTTTAACTTCCTGAAGCTTCCTTTCCGCAAAAAAATCAAAAATGAATTTTATTTATATATCTTTGCGTTTCAGAGATTTCTGAACATTTTAGCATACTGTAGAAAAAATGGATGAGTGTATGTGTGTGTGTGTGTGTGTATGTGTGCGGATACAAATTTTTGTCGACGATTTCGGGAACACGGTTCAACCGATTTTAATTATTCAAAAATAATTCGATTGCTGTTGATAAGGAAACGTGCTGATTAGTTTTTGGCATAGGCAGGTTTAGCCGTTTCGCAGATACCGGGCAAAAAGTGCCACAAACGGTAACTCAGTTTTTAACAGAACGGAGTGCCGGATTTTAATAATTCAAAAATTATTTTACTTGTATTGACAAGATGAACAACTGATTAAATTGTCACAAAGGCAGGTCTAGAGGTTTCGGAGATCTAGTGAAAAAAGTAAAAAAAATGCCATTTGGCGGTCAAAAATGATCATTAGACATATGCACATAAAATTATCAGATAATTTTATTTACATTCCTATGGGTTCCGTACCAATGTTTATTCGTTAGACGGCGACGCGGCGCTTTTGCGCTTCGATATTTTATCTCTATGCAGTTAAAGCAGTACGATTGCTTTAAAAAAAAGTTCAGAACAAAATATTTTAAAATGAAAAAAACATTTTTTTCAAAAAGTCTTTTTTACAAACAAATAAGTTTTTTTCAAAAATTTATAGTTAATTATAATTATAATATGGTATAAAATATAATTTTTTTAAAGTAATTTTTTTTCAAAAATGTTATTTTTTTTTAAAAAAAAAAAATTTTGGTACGAGAAGTTTCAGCAATTTGCCTTAAGGCACGATGGCATGCGCCCCACTAGTTTTTGAATACTATGAAAAAATTATATTTTTGAGAATTTTGAATTTTTTTTTGTAAAATTTTAACTTTTTTACAATGCTGATCATAAATCGAAGGGCGTAAGCGCCGCGTCGCTACCTTGCTGATCAACATTAGTACGAAAATAAAATTTGTACTTCTTATTAAAATCTCTATGAGATATCTGATAATTGGATGTGCGTGTGTCTAAGGATAATTTTTTATTATTTTTTCAAAAGTTTAATCCGTTCCGCATTTTGTCAGTACAAATATAATGTTTCTTGAATCATTCAAATTGCTCGCTTCGTTCGTTCAAAAACTGAATGGCTGTTTTTGGCACTTTTTGTCCCGTATCCTCAAAACGATAGGACCTGCCTTTGCCAAAAACTAATCAGCACGTCTTTCAATGTTTTTTCAATGATTCAAATCAGTTAATCGTCGACGAAAATTTGGATCCGCACACACACACACATACATCAATTTTTTTCTAATGCATGTCAAACAGTTCAGAGACTTGTGAAAGGTAAAGATATATAGAAATTTTCATTTTTAAATTTTAAAGAGGGGTTAAATATGAGCATAGAGCACATTGAATATGGTCTGGAAATATCTGTTACTTTAACTAGTCATTCCTAAAACACCTAACTTTGTTATAATAATTAGATGTATGCCTGGAAACCTTTCAGCAGTTTTCATTAACCTCTCCTTTTCATTTTTTGGTTTAAACTGTTGTTAATAAAGCTAACGCGAGGGAATAAATTTCTCCTTGCATCTTCTGCATAAATACATATATTATCGCATATTTATTTGCAAAATAACAGTACACAACTGTATTTACTTCCAGTAAATATGACTGTATTACGTGCAGTGGAAAATGTGTCAGCGTCGTGTTGACTACTTCATTTATTATATCTGTATTCACTTGAGTAAATATATAAATCTATATTTGAACACGTTCTACAAACTATGAATCTTAGAGCATTGTTTTGAAATGAATTATAAGTAATTATACACAATGTAAATGTAGGTATTATACGTGTTACATATAAAGCGTGTTTTTTTTTTTCAAATGGCGAAATATATATGATAAAAGTATTCATCGATCCAATAATTAAAACAAATTTAATAAAGGAAAATATTATTATACAAGCAAACGTCTCGAATCTTGGTTTGACCAAAAAATGACAAAAATATTTATAACAATCAAAAATATGAACACCAATTAATACAACACATAGTTGTTAAACAAAAAATTTTTAATAACTCAATATTGAATCAAAATAAATAAAATAGATGAAAAGACCTACAAAATCTTCAATAATCGATGCATGTTGACCGTTTGAAACATTGTTCGCAAGTCAAGTTTGATTTAATATTGAGCTATTAATTTTTTTTGTTTTAACCCATTCGAGATGGCGATTTTTTTTGAACGCGGTCTTCAGGAGCAATTTTTTTTGTTTTACTTTTTATTTATAAATAAAATAAAAAAATCATGGTCACTTCGGAAATCACCCAATTCGTAAGCAAATCTGCATAAATAAGATGATTGCACACCGTGTGTGCAACTGGCTCCTCAGAAAATAGAAATACATAATTAAAATAGACATTTAATTTAAAAATAATTAGATCATATAAAATCGTTACGTTGCTTTCAATAATGCAAGGAAAATTTTTAAGAAATAGTAACAAGTCAAAAAAACAAGTTGAATAGAGGAGAAAATAATATAAACAAAAAATATTTTTTTAGAAAAATGTCTAAAGGTAAAAAGTAATGTAACTCAGTAATGAAAAAGAAATACAATTTGTAAATACATTTTTAGAAAAAATGCACATTGGTTCTACATTGATATTTTCTAAAAATGTAGATTTCGAATTTCCAAACAAAATGTTTTGTTTTGGTACGCAATAAAACCAATGCCAAATTTTGTTTTTCTATACTTTACAGATACTATTAATTCAAAAAAAATGTATCTGGACGACTATTTTACTCATTGTCAGAATAACTGATAATTGCTCATTATTATTATTGCACACACAGTGTGCAACCGGTCTTATAATAGCCTCGGAAAGCAATTGCACACACGGTGTGCAGTCGTTTTAAAAAATTTAAATTATGGTATGGGATGTACCAGCAATTTGTCTTAAGGTACGACGTTGCCATGCCCCGCTAGTTTTTATAATAATTTAGTTTTTTTTCCGTCTTAGAATTCGAAACTTTCAAACATAGAGTTGTTGAATCAGTTTTAAATTTTGCTCGACTGTTGATTAGCGCTTTATTCCAAAGTACTGTGAACAAGGCACTAGTCATATATAAAAATGGAGCTCTCTTTCAAATGTCTTAGTAAAACTCGAAAACGGCTAAACCGATTTGGCCAGTCTTAGTCTTGAAAAATTCATGCCAATCCAGAGATGGTCGGAAAGGTGAGATATTATTTCAAAATCGCGTAGAAACTTTACATTTTTAATTTGAAAATTTTTGTAGAAGCGTAATTTAAATAAAACAATGGACGCTGGCTAATACTTGAAATGTCAAACGTTTTTGACAGATGATGTTTAATTACTTTTAATAAGATGTCTTATGT